TGAGACTGGACCCGCATGCATGCTGCCTCTAAGAGCCCATATATATATATATATATATATATATGCTCCTGTATGCATACATCCGCCTTTCTATGGTTCGTTGCATGCTATAGTGCCGATTGCCTTTCAACTCTTCTTGGGGTGCAAAATACACGTTGATAGTCCTAAACCGCTTCAATTCACGCTGTCGTTGGCCGCCTCATTAAACATTAACTGCGAGGATTACTGTTTATCTTTTATACCCTGCATGCCAAACCTGATATCTATACGCTAGTTCGTAGATACGAGACATACGAGAAGTTTTTTGAAAGGCATGGAGTCGAGTGCTTTCCAGTCGAGCGGCAGTTTGACTTTTTCGGGCTGAAGTTCTTGGAACCATTCTTTAAATCTCGAAGGTGCATCTTTTTGCATATTTGTTGCAAAGTTATCGAACCCGGGAAGTTCAATAAGCTTTTGAACAGCAAACCAGGCTTTGTTCGGCAGCCAGTCTGCTAAAGGGTTTTCTGGGACTTGCTTGGTTGGACCTCTTAAGAGAAAGTCCAGGAGTTGTGGGTCAAAGGAGTCCTTTAGTTTTCCTCCTCTTAACAATTCGAACGTTAACATCGTTAGAAAGGCCAGCTTGTGTTTTTCAAACAAACCACGGCCAACCCACGTTATTATTGTTGTTCTGATGGAGGTCGTCAACTCTATACAACGCTCTTGAATCGTTTCGCAGACCTTTGTTTTGTCTATCGCCTGAAGAATTAAAAAAGTATAGCACAAGAAAAAGAAGTAAAAAAAATTTTCTCTTGTTCACGGGGCTCGCTTAATAGAAGCAGTGATATACCCGATAGAGTATTCACACAGCAAATGTATATACACTATACACAGATTATGCATATATATATATGATTATCTATTACATGCACACCATGCATATTCTGTATGCATTTGAACTAACGTGGAAGTGAAATTTGCTCTCGTTAGAAGTAGAGACACGGTGTATGCGAGATTACCACTTGAACCAGGTGAACTAAAAACTGAATTAAACTGCATATCTACATAAGATCCCTTACACTTTGAACTGGAGATGTGCATTATATCAGTGACAAACCAGTAAATATTTTAAAACCATCGCCCTCTGACTGGAACTTCCACCCAGAATAACAATATATATGCGTGCACACCAATGAACTGCCTCTCTTCCAGAGAGTGAATTAGGCGACTCTTGTTTGATAAAATACTTTTCAGTTACTGCTTGAACAATTTTGAAATAAATGTTATATTATACACTTACCTTATATACAAAAGTAATGAAGGAGTCCAGAGAATACTGGTACATAGGATTAATGCTACGGAGGCGAGTTAAGACGAAATACAACAGAGAGGCTTCATTTGCAGACGTGCGATAAGCCTCGCGACTTCTGTTTATTTGCTCTTCTCGTTCCTTCGCCATTGCTTGCTGCAAACAAGCACATACGCAATCGCTAAACCCTAAAACCTAAAGCCTAAACTGTAAACCCTTAATTCTCAGGGTTAAACTGTTTTGGTGTCACTCTTATCTAATGGAGCCCGTGATAGTTTTTTCGTGCGAAGTTGTTCTTAGAGGAGCAGAAGTCCCTTTTCTAGTTCGGCTTGACACCCTCATTTGAGTGCATCTGGCTCAATACAGGATATTAATTCAATATTTGTTGATGAGTGCGTATTTGTAGCAGGACACTGGGCATTGGAACGGCAAGGGCGTGCCGTGTTTATTTGTTACACCAGCGCTAATACTAGCGAAAATCGTTCCACAAATTTAATGTCAATAATAATTAAAAGAACATTACAAGGACGGCGACAACGACAAGGAGAACTGTATTTAAACAACGACTGCAAGAAGAACACCAACAATGACAACAACGGCAACAGCAGCAGCAACAGCAAACACAAAAACAGCACTTCCCAAAAGGCAAAAGAGCAAATAAATAAGTCTGCTCGTGTGTTTGACCTGTTCTTGAATTTCTTTGGTTGTTCGTTTCGTTTCCTCAAGGCTTTCGACGAGAGTGGTATTTGCAAGGATGAGTTCCGGGTCTGCATTTGAGAGTTCAAATAGTAGTTTGTCTTCTAGTTGAGCAAGTGTGACTTTAAATTCGTTCTGTTTTCTTGTCAAGGCCTGCTTAGACGTCTCCAAGTCCGGTTGCTCCGCGTTTACTATCATAGCCAGGAATTGCTCCTCTAATCCCTCGGGGGTGACTGTGAAATTCACTAAAGTGCACTGCGCAGCTATCTCGGGCTTGTAGTGGGGGTTCGGCAACTTCGTCTGCAGCAACAAACGAAAACTGCTGCTGAACTCCACGTCTTCACCTCCCATCTTCACGTACAGCGTACGGCCCTGAGCAGACACCCGACACAAAACGCACGTTCGCCGCAACTCAACACCGACAGTGAAAGCTCCTTCAAATGCTGTTCAACAGAAGGATGATCAACGGCTGCTGTTGCTGCTTTAAAGATGCAGCAACCTTCTAAACAGCAAGGCAACTCCCTAGGACGTGCCGTGCGGTTTAGCAACGGCAGCATCAACAACTCTAGCAGCACCAGTAACTTTAAAACCACAGCAGCAACACCATTGCCGTGCACTTCAACAGCGGCTGCAACAGTAAGACCAACAGCAGTTGCAGCAGGAGCACACACCTTTCTTGAGACGCTCCGGGAGACGAGCGGGTCAAGCACGGGGTCGATTGCCTCGGATAGGTTTTCAATGAGGAGAACATCTCCGTTTCTGATTGCGTCAATGACTTTATTCAGCCAACGGTCGCGATTCACTGACACTGTTATCAAACTATCCCTGCCGCGCTGCTTCACCCAGCGAGTCCCCTGCAGCTGCGGGTCGATCAACAACGGCCACCTGCGAAGCCATAACCATGCAGTTGCATAAATGCAAGATTGTACATTGCTGAAACCTTCATAGGCACACATGCATATGTATATGGAATCACATGCTAATGGAGGTAAAAGAACATTGTCAAGAATAATATAATATTGTATCTCAATCCTTCTACATATATTCGCGCCAAATATTATATTATCGTATCTTCTTCGCTCTGCAGCAGTTTTCGCTGCTGCTGTCCACGCCAGTTGCCAGTTGTTTACCCTCAACCTAAACCACCATGCCTAAACCGCCAATCCTAGAATATAAATCCTAATCCCTAAACTTTATTCAACAATCGTGCTCAGTCACAACAAGAGGCGGAAGCGGCAAAGGCGCACACTCAAATCCTCGAAAGTTTTGGGGATATAAGGATTGGCTCTGGGTTTAGAGTTTAAGATTACCTCATGCAGGAGTTAACGATTGCTGCGTTTTCTATGGAAATGCGATCTGCCGGCAGCCCCTCATTTTTCCACAGCGCGATATCCGCTTCGTCTGCTAAAACGTCTAAGGGAGTTACAGTTGAAGTAAAGGGGATGTTCTGTTTCAACAAGTCTGCCTTCCATGCTCCCTATAAGAAAAAATACAATACACTAACATGTAAACATGCGCGCACAACTAGAGCACAAAACGGCAGACAGACAGCACCAAATAGAGATTTTACCTGCGATTCGGGTTCATCATGCAGTATTGCTTAACAAAGGATAAAATAAGTAGAAATATACACACACATATACATACAGTATATATATATATATATATATATA